GAGACATTGCTATAATATGGGAAATTGTAAGGTTTTAGAAGCTCTGTTTCAGGAAGTTAGGACAAAGACAAGACAAATTCTTCATGTTAAACTGATAATTTCCATACATTATTGGGTTCTATTTGCTAATATTTTCTTAATAATTTTTATATCTATGCTCACGAGGGACAGTAGTTTTATTTGTAATCCCAGTGTAGTTTCTTTGTCAGGTTTTGGAATCAGGGTAGTAATATTGTCCTCAAAATGAGCTGGGAAATGTTCCCTCTCTATTTTCGGAAAGGTTTTATTTAAGATTGGTATTATTTATTCCTTTAATGCTTGGTAAATTTTACTAATGATGATTTCTGGCCTAGAGTTTTCTTTGTGGGAAAGTGTTCTTTTTTTTATTACAAATTTAATTTTTTTTTAATAAATGCAAATCTATGCAGGGTTTTTCATTCTTCTTGAGTCAGTTTTAATAGCATGTGCTTTTAAGAATTTGTTCATTTCCTCTGAGTTGTTGAATTTATTGGCATTAAAATTGTTCATAATATTCTCTTATCTTCCTTTTAATGTATATAGGAGCTGTAGTGATAGGCCCTCTTTCACTCTTATTTGTACATATTAGTAATTTTCGTCTTTATTTTCTTCATCAGTCTTCGAAGAAGTTTATCAGTTTTGCTGATTTTTTTAAAGTCAGCTTTCATGTTTATTGATATTGTTTCTGTTTTCTGTTTTGTTCACTCGTTAGCATTTTTATTTCTTTCCCCTACTTCAGAGATTTTTGTTTTCAGCGCTATTTTGGGCCAGATAAGTCTGTTTTGAGCATCATAGGTTGTTTAAAGTATCCCTGGCCTCTCCTTAGGAAATGCCAGTAACATTTACCTAGTTGGGATGATCAAAAATGTCTCTCTATATAATCAAATGTCTCCTGGTGGACAAAACAGTTCACAGTTGAGAACCATTGCTTGACTTCTTTTGGTTCAGTGTTTTTCTTTTTTAGCTTCTAAAGATGGAATCTTAGATCATTGATTCTGGGCTCCTCCAGCAGCAACATAAGGATTTAAAGCTAAACATACTTCTCTAGACACTGCCTTAGCTACATCCAACGTATTTATTAGGTTGTGCTTTCATTAGTTTTCAGTTCAGGATATTTTCTAATTTCTCTGCAGTGCAGTTCATTCTTTGATTTGTGACACATCTTCCAAGTAGTGATTTTTTTTCTACCAATAGTTATGTTACTGTTACTGATTTCTAATTTAATTCCATTGTGCTTAGAAAACTTACTCTGTATGATTTTCATACTTATAAATTTATTTTAAAAATTGTGCTTTACAAAGTGCATAACTTAGGAATATTTATGCAGTATGCCAAAGGATTTGTCAAAGACTTAAATTAAGGTGTTTGGTATAATTGAAAATGAATTGATTTTTTACAGAATTCAGTTTATATGTATTTTTCCCTGTTTATTGAATATGTATGTATAGAAAAATGTACAAATCTTAAGAGTACAGCTTGATGAGTTTTCACAAAGGTGAAGAAATAAAATATTACAGACTCTTCTTAGAAGCCATTCTCTCAACTCTTTCCAGCAACTGTCACCCCCCTCCCTGATTTTTGAGGCCATAAGTTAATTTTGCCAGTTTTGAACTTTTTATGAATGGAGTTACACAGTATGTATTTTTGTGTATTTGCCTTCTTTCATCCAACATTTTGTTGAAAGTATGAAGATTCTTTCATGTTATTGCATAATAGTTGTTCATTCTCACCTTTCTATGCAATATTACATTACATGAGTATTTTACAACTTATTCATTCATTCTACTTTTGACGGATAATTGAGTTGTTTCAGTTTGGGGCCAGTGAAAAAAAGGGTCCTTCTTTTGTATATTCTTTGGTGAACATATATTAATTTGGTGTATTCCCATAAGTGGAAATGTTTAGTCATAAGGTGTGTATATATGCAGCTTTGATATGTCAGATTTAAGCAAAATTTTATTGTAGTTTTTGTTATGCATCCTTTTAGGCATTTGCTTTTTTTATGATCTTAGTTATTATGGTGATGTGTTTTTGTCATTTTTTTGTTTTTTTAATATATATTTTATTAATTTTTCACAGAGAGGAAGAGAGAGGGATAGAGAGTCAGAAACATTGATGAGAGAGAATCATCAATCAGTTGCCTCTTGCACACCCCCTACTGGGGATGTGTGCGCAACCAAGGTACATGCCCTTGACCGGAATCGAACCCGGGACCCTTCAGTCTGCAGGCCGATGCTCTATCCACTGAGCCAAACCGGTTTCGGCTGTTTTTGTCATTGTTAAAGAAAGTAATACATTTCTTATGGTGAATTTTTTTCCCTAAAAGTCTGCAATATTAAAAAAAAAAAAAAGATTCTATATTCCCACTATATGAGAATGTATTTATAATTGTATATTTGTATTATTGTACTAATGTTTTATAAATACAAGATAAAGCTTAAGAAGAATAAATATAAATAGCAATTTTATTATTCCACTAATTCTTTTTCACCTCCTTCAGGTGCATACTTTGCAGACCCTTTCTCTAAAGTTTTCTGTTTTTCTTGCCCTTTGAGTGTGTGTGTGTGTGTGTGTATACTAGGACACTTCATATATATGTAATGTACTTCGTATATGAAATGTAAGCTTTAGGATACAGTTAAGAGATACTCGTTTAGCTTCATAGAATATGTTCTTTTCATTTGTGGAGGGCAACATCCATTAGGCACTTTAGGATTAGAAAGTAAGTGAAAGAAATACGTTAGTAAGTTGGGAGTTGGCGCATTGATTCAACAAATATAGAGGTATTTTCTTTTACAAGAAGCAAATATTAATTCTGAGAATGGGGGCTTTTATTTTCCTCCCACAGTGGCACTACTCTTACAGTTCTGTGCGGTTTCAGTTCTGTGCTTCATCTTATTGTCTGTCACCAGACTGCCCCCTAAAGAATTAAAAGTTTGTGTATTAGAGCTGGGTAGCAGTCAATGAAAAGTCACAGATCTGGTTGAGATAATAACTCCCAGTTCAATAGGGAATGTATTAACATGTCTGTCTTATGGGGATGTTATTTGTGAAAAAGATTGCCTGTAATTCAGTGGTAAAATGATAGAAATGTCATTCTCTCTGTCCTTGGAAGCCAAGCATTCCGAGTAAGGATGTCTGGAAGAAAGACAGTTCATTGGTGTTTGCTCTCAGAGGGGCATTTTAGTTGGAGAAGAAGAGTGGGTTAACCAGATGGATTATTCAGTTCATCTCAACCTTATAGAGAATTTATCATAATTGGATATTTCAATGGCACCTTATTGGAAGGGCTTGGTTGGATGCACAGGCTCAGAAGAGCAAAGAGGTTGTTTCTGAGTGTGGCAGTATGTGATAAGTTCAATTACTCATTTGTTGCTAGCATTATTTGGGTCATTATTTTCTCTGTGTACATATAGTTAGGCATCTTCCTCTCTGTCATACCCTAAATCTTGTACTGTCCTCACAGCTGACTAAATAATGAAAATACCAATCTCTTCTTTCAGTTTCTTTTTTCATCATTATGGTGTTTGTTTATTTTCAAACTAATTCTGGGTTTTACTGGGAACCTGTCTATTTGTCCCATGTAGTATACATAATACTTAATAATACATATTAAAAACTAGAGGCCCGATGCACGAAGATTTCTGCAAGAATTGGCCTTCCTTCCCCTGGCTGCCAGCACTGCCTTTGCTCTGGCCGAAGGTGCCTTTCCATCTTCCCACGCTGCCCAGAGGCCGGGAGCAGCTGGGTGATGTGGAACACAAGCATTCTACCCCGCCCCCAACCACTCGGTGCCTTGTATGCAAATTAACCCATCATCTTTGTTGGGTTATTTTGCATACTCACTCCTGATTGGCTGGCAGGTGTTGCAAAAGCACGGTCAATTAGCATGTTACTCTTTTATTGGTGTAGATAATAAGAATATTTGCAGTAACTAACATTTCAGTTTTACAAATGAGGAAACTGTTAATCAGAGAGGTTAGAATCTGTCTGAACAGCCTAAGACAGCTTTGAAGACTTAAGATACTCAGTATTTGTTAGCCACACAGTATTTGAAGCCAGGCAGTCTGGCCATAGAATCTGTGCCCTTCAGTATTCCTTGTCACCAGGTGGTTAAGAACTTGAGGTTTGGAGTAAGAAAGACCTGGGCTTAAGTCATGGCTACCACTGACACTCTTGGGACATGAGCATCTCTCTTGACCTTAGTAATCTTGTTTATAAAATAAGGGCTATTTAGGGGATAAAATGAGATAGTGTATGTTAACTGCTTAGCACATTCTTTAGCAGATACTATGCTTTTTCAGTAGATGGTATTATAACAAATACTAATAAGCAAAATGAAAAAAGTCACGAATAGAAAGCAACCATTGTTAGTATTTTTAGGTATATCCTCGCAGTCTCTTAAAAATGGGTTCCCTTATGTTATTATTATATCTTCTGCTTATGTTATTTTTCTCTCTTATAACATTTCCTTGTTTATATTTTACACAAAAGGCAGGAAGGCATGAATTTGTCTGTGTCACTTAGCAGTAAGGCAAGGCTGTTTCAGCTTCACTGCTGCCAAAACCTTTTCTGCCTATGTTTAGGAGTAAATGGAGATGGGAGAGGACATAGAAATACATACACTCCCCCCCCCCTCATTTTAAACAAAAATATGTGAATTAAAATTTCGATATAATGTCTGCAAATCAACAAATTGTGGGGTAGCAGAAATAGGAAAAGAACATGTGCTAGTATTAATTTTATTAAAATAACAATGAAACTCCAGTTTTATTATAGAATATTTAGTTATTAACTGAAAAATACTATATCTGAGTGAACAGTCAATTTCTTCTTGATGAGTGAGATTATAGAAGTCTGATCATATATTGCATTACAAAATAAATCCACTGAATGCGATACAGCAGTAACTAAACTAATCCCTCCTTTCCAAAACCTTAGCAACAAAACATGGCTAATGCTCTTTTTTCTTTTCCTCTTAGGTCTACACACAATGAGCTGGAAAAGAATCGGTGAGTCAGTAATGAGGTGCAGTTTTCATTTATGTTTAAAAAGCAAACTCAACATCTTACCTGTGAAAATTATGTAATAATGCATATGTAATTATATATATGTATATATAATATATATATTTAATATTTTCATTGATTTTTAGAGAGAGGAAGGGAGAGGGAGAGAGAAGCATTGATGTGAGAGCAGAACATCTATCAGCTGCCTCCTGCACATCTCCAACCTGGGATTGAGGCTGCAACCCACGCATGTACCCTGACTAGGAATCAAACTTGCACCTTTTTGGTGCCCAGGATGACACTTAATCAACTGAGCCACACCAGCCAGGGCTGTAGTTATATATATATATATTTAAAATGTACAGAGAATCATGATTCTGCTATATATGTATTTTCTCAAAAAAAAAAAATGCCTGAAATAGTAAGCTTATACTATCCAAACTGGAAATACATTATTAAGTTCATTTCAATTTTGAGTTTATGGTATAGCCTTTGTTTCTGTCTCTGAAAACAGGTCTATTGTGATAGGTTCATGGCTTGAATATGGTCTTGCTAAAGTATTAGGTTTCAGTAGTATAGCTAACACATATTATGAAAATTTGTACACCATTGAATTTCTCTTTCTTTGTAGTTTTGTTCATTTTTTCATGCATTCAGCAAATCTTTACTAAGCATGAACTATATATGTCTGTCAGGCAGGCATAATGCTCCACATAGAAAATATAAGAATGCATAAGATAGTCTCTCTCCTTGAGGAACTTACAACCTCCTGGGGAGACAAACAGGTAATTAAAACCCTATGTAGTATGGTTATAGAGAAGTAGGAGGTGCTGAAATATTACTTTGGAGGGTCCCCTGATTCTTTTTTGAGGAGTCTTGGGAAGCTAGTGGATAGTGAGTGAGCATTATATATTGAAGGAACCAAGGTTTTCAATATGAGTATGAAAGATTGTTGCATAAGACAAGCCAGGCCAGAGGTTGACAGCTATGCTGAAGAGTTTGAGCTTTTTCTGAGAGCAATAGGGGGCAGTTGGATGATTTGAAGATGGGTTGTCATACAATCCACTTTGTGTTTTGGAAAGATCACTTTGGCTGCAGTGTGAAGAATTGGTTGATTAGCAGAAGGGATCTCAGAGACAAGAACACTCTTTTGGAGGCAGTTGGAAACCTCCTTGGTAAGAGATGATGGGGGCCATTGGAGAAAGAAGTAGACAGAATAAAGAGATAGTTTAGAGTGTATGCAATAGAAATTGGTGATTACTTTGCTATTTAAGGTTAATTTTTAGGTGATATTAGTATTTACTGAGAGAATGAATATAGGAAGAGGACAAGTTTGAGAGAGAAAGGGAAGATTTTACAAATATTCTCTTTTTGATAGACATTAGGTTAATAACCAACAAACTGGGATTGTCTGAACCAGTCACTTTGTTGTTATTGTTCATCCTCACCAAAGATACTTTTCCATTGATTAAAAAAAAATTTTATACATATTTTATTATTTTTGTTTTGTTTTGTTTTTTTACAGAGAGGAAGGGAGAGGGTTAGAGAGTTAGAAACGTCGATGAGAGAGAATCATTGACCAGCTGCCTCCTGCACCCCCCCCACTGGGGATGTGCCCACAACCAATGTACATGCCTTGACCAGAAACGAACCCGGGACTTGTCAGTCCACAGGCTGACGCTCTATCCACTGAGCCAAACTGGTTTTGGCAATTAAAATATTTAAAAGAAAAAAAAAAATATATATATATATATATATATTGATTTCAGAGAGGAAGGGGGAGAAAGAAAGAGATAGAAACATCAATAATGAGAGAGAATCATTGATCGGCTGCCTCCTACACGTCCCCTACAGGGGGTCGAGCCCACAACCCAGGCATGTGACCTGATCGGGAATCAAACTCTGATCTCCTGGTTCATAGATTGACCCGCAACCACTGTGCCATGCCATCTGGGCTCCATTGATTTTTTAGAGCAAGTGGAAGGGAGGGATAGAGACACAGAAACAGCGATGTGAAAGAGACACATTGACTGGTTGCCTCTTGCACAAGCCTCAAGGAGGGCCAGGGATAGAACCTGCAAGTGAGGTATGTGCCCTTGACTGGAATAGAGTCTCATCCTTCAGTCCGAGGGCTGATGCTCTATCCACTGAGCCAAACCAGCTAGGGCTGTACCAGGCATTTTTTGACAAAAAAGATTTCCGTGACCCCCCTTTTTTTTGTTCTGCCCCCCCCCCCATTTTTTTTTTTTTTTTAAATAGAAGAGACCTTACAGATTGACTAGCCTAACTGCCTCATTGCGGATGAATTTAAATGTCAGATTCTCCTGAACAGGCTTAACATAGTCCTCCAGGCAGACTTTGGCTTTTACCACTTTGTTTGTGTTATACCCTGTTCATCTCCTACTATAAAACTTAATCAGGTACTGTCTGTTCATGTCTCTTTCTGCCACATGACTATGATTGCCGCAAAGGCAGGGATTCTGTTTTGTTCATATATATATATATTTTTTTATCTTCAGCTCCTAGCATTTGATGCATGTATAGTAGCTGATGGCTTCTCTATTGAATGAAGGATAGAAGTGGAGCAAAGTTCAGTGGTTTAGGAAAGATGTTTGCTGGTTTGTAGCAGGAGACTTTTCATTTTAAAGAATCTCCTTTCTGCCTTATATTATGGCTAACTAAGACATAGCAAAAAGACCAACAAATAACAGCTCTGAGGATTCAACAAAAAACAAAACAAAAAAAACTCCAACACTTTACATTGCACTTTAAATTAGAGCTCAGAGTATATTTTGAGTCACATGCTTTAAATACTGATAAACGTGGCTTTTGTAATAATTTCTCCCACCTGAATGTGGTCCTTGGGTGAGATCCTCATTAAAAACCTATTTTTTTTATTTTTTTTTTTTAATGTTGGAGTAGAGAATCTTTAGTAAACTATTCAGAATGGAGTTCTTCAAATCTTTGAGGAAACTTTGTTTCATGCATTCTGCATACCAGTTCTGATTTACTGATAATTTTATCACCCGTAGTATTACTTTGCTATACCCTATAAATTGTTGAATTTAGTGTCTTTTGGTGGCACTGGTGTAACCTGTGTGGCTTTTATTGCCTGGACTGTACATAATCCCCAGTGTCTCCAGTGAAGGCTTTTTGTCCCCATTTTATTACTAAGGTCTGTCTTTCTGGTTGTTTCCTACCCTACCTCATGTAAGGCATGGCTCCCTCATCCTCTTCTGTCCTCTCCCGATAGTCCTAGATAGCTTTTGTTTCTCAAATTATTTCTTCCCCTCTCTCTTCTTCCCTTCTTTTCTTTATCTGTTCATCCCTCCCTCTCTTCCTTGAGGCTTAATTGAAAGGTAATGCAGAATTAACCTTTCCAAGATGAATTTGTTTTTTAAATGGGGTATCTATCAACATAAATAAATCTTATTTAGTGGAATATGTCAGAGAGTGAGTGCCAAAGGAAGATTCCAGTTTAATAACCTCTACTTCACTTCTGAAAAGTTACTAGCTTGTGATCCAGCAAAAAAACAGAAATGTTGGTAAATACAGGATGATTTAAGGGAGGGGGTGTTTTAGCCAAATTTGCAAGAAACCAGATATAAAAAATAACATTTGAAAAATTTAAGCCTGTATTGTTACTATAGTTTTAAGCCTTTATCTAGTTCTACTTAATGTTTCCTTTTTTTCCCAAGACACCATTTTTTTATTTGACATTTTAAATTAAAAAAAAAAAAAGTTAATCTAACGTTGGCATCCTTTAAAATAAATAGAATTTTAGCTTTACCATTCATTTGCTTTTAAGTATGAGCTCATATGAAAGGGGCAATTTGATTTTTGTCTTCATTCTGAAAATACATTTCTGAAGTAATTCATAGTTTTGAAATGTTGCTGCTTTACATACATATTGATATCAGAAGTTTTTTCTTTGTTTTTTACCTTGGTTCTACAATCTTGCATGTAAAGCTGCTTTGAGTTAGTGTTTCCTACTGGGGCAGTGCAGTGAGGAAGAGAGTAGATGGCTCTAAACTGTTAGTGAACTTAAAGCCCCAGGATGATTGAAACCCTGGATCTGTCCTTGAGGAGACAAAAGCCAACCAGTGTTGAAGTTCATATTCCCAGGTCTCAGAAAGAAGCTTGATGGTGGAGATTTGGGTTTGGGTTGGCCCAGAGAACTTTGTTCTGGTCCAAAATCACCCCAAAATGCCTATAGCCTATTAGGGAGCTTTAGATAGTCCCAGGCCTGATAAAGAAATTCAAATCCTTTTTTGGATAGGTCCTGGGGGCTTATTTCTGCCTATAACCCTGACAGCTACACCGGTCTAGATGGTTCAGAGCATTTGTTACTTGCGTACCGTATTTTCCAGCATATAAGACGACCCCTAATTTTACAGTTAAAACATAGATTTAGGCCTATATTCGCTGTATAAGACTACCCCCCACTTCAAAGAAAAGACTTACTTTGCCATCAAGATCTGCAGGTAATTTTTGTGCAATTTTGGTATTTTGCCCCCGATTTTCGGTTGATTTTTTTTTTCTTTTCAAAAGTCGTCTTATACGCTGAAAAATACGGACTCACCCTGTCTCCTAGACCCATAATTGGTCTTAACAGACAAGGAGGTGGAGGTAAAAGGTCAGCAGAGTACCTCTAAGCTGTTCTGCATTCCCCAAGAATCTGTATAAATCATCTCATGGTAAAATGAATGAATCTTTGAGATTTAATAATCAAGAATCTACATTAGCTTACCTCATGTGTTGGGTCCTTTGCCAGATTAGAAACAGTTACAGATTTTAGATTGCTTCATTGTTTTTTATTTTATTAAATTAAAATTACTGATGATGTTTTTGAAAGAACAACAACTTTAACAGAACTTTAATGGTCAGGAGCCTCAGTGCTATGGCAAGAGAGGCCATCCAACCTTAATATCTGAATATCTGTCATTACATCGAAACAAAAAGCTCACCTTTATTGCAATGTTGGCAAAGCTAGAAGACCCAAA